ACTTGGCTCTTCCGGTGCCCACTGAGTGTGGCTTGGTTTTCAAAACCCTAAGCTCAGTTCTTCCTCTCCCAGACCTCGGGAAGGATGAGTCGCGGGTCTGCTGGTTTTGACGGAAAGTGGGGCCTAGCAAAGTCCTCATCCTCTGAAGTCTCACAAGAGCCCCATCCGATGCACAGCTCCCTCACATCCCTGCCCATCTCGGGGCTTTTCTTGGAAAAGTCCATAATGGATTTGCGGTCTTGAAAACCCCAAGCCCAAAACACCCTGGGCCTCAGGGTTTCCCCCCTTCCCGAATGCCACCTCTTCTACTCCAGGCTCCCCCCCAGTCTAAACGAGCAAGCAGAAGGAGAGTCTTGCTCCCCTCACAGCCAGTCCAACGTCCACTCTTACTTGGCCCTTTCTTTCTCAAATACCCATGTTCATAGCCCTGATACTACTAAACAGAAAACGATAGTTTGCATTGGGAGGAAGAAGTCAGAAAGACAGGCTCAGCCCCGATGCGAAGGCAGGGCTTCTGCCCTTATGGCGGTTGCAGCTCTGACCCAGAGGTGTCCCTATTTGCATTTCCCGTATACTGTGACAGCCCCTGGGCTCCAGAAATCTCTACTGCTGCCCCCACCCCCAACCCCTTGCTACCTTGGAACCTTCTCTTCCAAGAAAGTAGCCACCAGCACAACGCTGTGGCCACTGTCTGTTCTCACCCAAAGGCCTGAGGTTTTCACTTCCACCCTCTCTTCCCGCTACAGCCTTGGCTTTTCGTTGTCCCACGTTCCCGGTTTGTCTGTGTGTGTGTGAGTAGATCTCCTCCTAGGGCAGGAATGTAGAGCAAATCTCCCAGAGCTCATCCCTCCAGCTCAGTCCTTCTCGCCTGGACCTCTGCTGGGAAGATACCCATGCAAGACCAACCACTCAGCCATGACGTGGACTGAGCCTCTCACCTGAGAGACTGGACAGGGATGTGCCTGGGTCTTTGGCTTAGATCTCCTGGTTTCCTTGGAAACTAGGAGCGGTGGGGCTGAGTCTTGTGCTCAAGGGGTCCAGACACACAATGTTCCTTCCTCCTTGAAAGAGGTAGTTGAAACTCAGAGCCAGTCCCTAAGGAATAGGCACTGAACCTGGGTCCCCAGCCCCGCACCTTCTCTCCATCTGTGAGGCTATGCTGCTTCCAGGCAGGTGACATGCGACTTGAACCTTCCGATAGATGGGCACTTACCTGTTTTGTAGCTCTGCTCAAAAGCCAGGGATAGAAACAGCAGGAAGTTCAAGAAAAGGAGCCCCTTGGGATCCATCAGCCAGTGAAAAGAGGGAAGGGGACCCGGCTGGACCCCGGCAACCTGTTCACAGACGCCGGCAGAAGCGAGCTTTGTGTCGGGCAGTACTGCCTCTGCTGGTCTAATTTATATATCAGGAACCAGCAGGTTCCTGAACCAGCTTCCTGTGTCACTGGGACTTTTTCTGCCTGTGTGTTGAGGATTGCTCATCTCCCTTCAAGCCTGAAATCACTTTGCTGTTCTCAAAAAGCATGCTTCTCAAGAAGTCAGGCACTTGGACTATGGGAGCCTGGAAGGGGTTGGCTGTGTAGTCTCCTTGGTCAAACCTGGCTCTGGGCAGAAGTATGCTCCCCTGCTTGTATCCTTAGCTGTCTCCAGGAAACGGATGTCATTGCTTCTCTGAGCAGTTCTCTCTGGAAGTTCTTCTTAGACTGTAAAGAAAGGATGTTTTTTTCAGACTACCCCTAAAATTTGGTAGTTCAAAGCTGAACTCAGAGGACTGAATTTTGATAAGCTGATGGACCTCTTACTTCTGACAGTCCATAATTTTGAATGACACCTTGACATGCAGCGAGGTCCTGATGCCTCAGTCCCAGAGAGATGGGGTGGACAAGTGCAGATCACTTGGCAGAAACACTATTTCCCTGGTACCATGTGGTAGAATATAATGAGCACTGTGTTGTGGGAGTTGCCTTTATGTTAGAGTTTGTATCTAACTTTCCACTGAAGAGAAGGAGCTAGGATTGCAGAAGGAAGACCTCATGCTTTTCCATGAGTTAAACTGTGAGTGGAACACTGGAAAATGCAATTACCAGAGCTCACAGGGAGATCCGAAAGGCCGAAATAGTGTTTTTGAGTCCATTTGAACAGGTCAAAGGCACTCTCTCATGGGTCTCCACAGGGGAACCAGGGTAGCAAACACTGGTGATACATGTGAACTTGCTCTTTATCCTCACTGTTTTCCTCCTTTTTTTCCCCGATTACACAGCCATCCTCCCAACAACTCTACCCAATATGTGCTTGAGCCAGCGTGTACCAGTTCATGAGAGCCAGTTGTTAAAATTTCAGGAATCTCCTAAAAGATCTAAAAAATTGACCTCCCAAATGACCCTGCAATCCCCCTACTGGGAATATACCCGAAGGAATGCAAATCACTCTATGAAAAAGATATCTGCACATGCACGTTTATTGCAGTATTGTTCACAATAGCAAAAACATGGAACCAGCTGTGCTGCCCTTTGAAAAAGGACGGATTTTTTAATGTGGTATATATACACAATTAAATATTATACAGCCATAAAGAAGGACAAAATTGTGAACTTCACAGCAATTTGGATGGACTTAGAGTCTGTAATAATGAATGATCTATCAAAGAAACAAAGAACATGTTCTCACTCATAAGCAGGTCTTGAACAATTATCATAATACTATAAGAAAAGGATTGGCAGTAGTGGGAATCTGCCAGGAGCGGGGGAGGCACACCTCATCAACAAGGGCACTTACATAATGAACATTTGTAAAAAACAAAGAAGCCAAAAAATCTAGGCTCTTATAGTCCATTTCCCAATTTATAAATGTTGTGAGAAAGAAAGAAAGAAAGAAAAGAGAGAAATGGCAATAGAAAAGAAAAGAAAGAAGGAAAGAAGTAAATTTGAACATTATGACAGTCAAAACATACTCTGTAAGCTAATTTGATCCATAGCTGCTAATATGCTACCTGTGCAAAAAAAGAAAAAAAACAAGTAAAATTTAACACTTGTGTATATACAAGTGAAAAGAGAAGTATGAGCGCAGATAATATTAGCTTGGTCAAATTAAAGACGCATATGATTCTCCAAAAATATGTACTTAATGTGGTGATTATTAGGACTAAAAATAAAGAAAAAATTTCAGGAATCTTGAAATTTGAGCTGCTTGATAAACATGGCCGTACTTAAATTATAGATATATATACAATTAAATCATATAAACTTATAATTGAGCTGGTTGTGGTGACACACACCTGTAGTCCCAACTACTTGGGAGGCTGAAGTAAGAGGATCCTTGAGGCCAGGAGTTGGAGGCTGTAGTGTGCTATGATCACACTTGTGAGTAGCCAGTACACTCTAGCCTGGACAACATAGTGAAACCCTGTCTCTAATAAAAACCTTACAATTCAATAAATTATATTAAAAATAGAGGAAATAAATCTTCAAAGCTCCTTGCGTTCAATTATTTTATGACATTACTGACATCTATGCCCTTGAGGTCAGTGACATCTATTGTCTCTTTATGGTGGAAATAAAATACTAGATCATTGGTGCTGCCACTCCACTCTTCCTAGCTCTACATTCACTGACCTCATGTTGGAGCTTGAAATTGGTCATGGTGGGAGTTGATATCACAAAAATTGGCAAATGATACAAATCAGATCCATAATTTTTTGTTTTGTTGATTGTCTAGATGTAAGATAATGATAAGAAAAATATAATGATGTAGATTAAACTTAAAAGTGTGCCATAGCTATGGCCCTTGCTTTGAGAATAGCATAAAAAATTGAGGAAATATTTTTTCAGCATTCAAAAACTGTCCTCTAATTCAGCAAGAAGTCACTGGTAAGCCAGTGATGCTCCAGTATATGTCTTTGCTGTTTCACGTTTCTTTAACTTTAAAAAGGACTCAATTCCAGCACTTTGGGAGGCTGAGATGGGAGGAACACCTGAGCCCAGGAGTTTGAGATCAGCTTAGGCAACATAGCAAGACCTCCCCTTTAAAAAAATTTTTTAAAAAATGAACCAGGTGCATACCTGTAGTCCTAACTACTCGGGAGACTAAGAAGGGTTGCCTGAACCCAGGAAGTTGAGGCTGCAGTGAGCTGTGATTGTGCCCCTGCACTCTAGTCTGGGTGACAAAGTAAGACTCCCAACTCAAAAAAAAAGAAAAAGAAAAAGAAAGAAAAAGAAAAAGGACATTGACCAACATTCACGTGGAAACTACATTCCGTTGTCAATTGTAACCACAGGTTGGCTATGGATATGAGTTAAGCCAATATAAACAGAGGCATTCTGTGAGAATCTATGGCCCTGTGGAATTTACAGTAAAGGGCATTGTACATTGTATTAAAATATAATAAATTATATTTTATAAAACTGTGTATTATATATCCCTCATATAAGTAAAATTTATAGCTAACTCCTATATACATACATTATTTTTCAGAGCGCTGGCTGTTAAACATTTACCAACACACCACTGTCACAATAACTGAGAATCCAAATGGTGGAGTGAATAGTATATTCTCTCTATATTTATAAAATAGCAGCTGAAATATAACTCAATGAGTTGGTAACATTGGGACCCCATATTCCCACAAGGTGTATCCCATAAGGCTTTGGTGTTGACCATACAACCACTCTATGGAGAAGCAATGCTGACACAAAGTGAGACCGGTATGATGTTAATACATATTTATCCTAACTTGAGCAAAAAACTTCTGTGAGACAAATCTATGCTGTGAGCTTTTAAGATTACATAACTTATCTTAATATCTGAAACAACTTGGTGGGGTCTTATTATTCACCCCTTTTTATGAATGGGTAGCCAGCGATCCTGGTCTGACTTCAAGACTGGTGCTCTCCCCTGGAGCCACATATCTCCTGGGCTGCATACTCTGTCTGCTATGCCAAGTCCCTCTCTTCCAGACACAGGCACTTGCACTTTTTTCCAGAATTAACCCTTTTCTGGCCTCACCATGAAGCATCGCCACTGTGTTCCCTTGGGTGCCCTCTGCAGAGACGCACATTGATCTGAAGCGGGGCACCATCGGATGGGTTTTGCTTTTCAGTGTAAACCAAGACTCAAGAAAAGCAAAGCTGCATTGAATGAGGGTCAGAAATGGTTTAGATGAAGGTCCTGCAGTGCTCTGAATCGAGTTGCCTACCATCTCCCCCCCCATTCATGTCTACCTGGAATTTCAGAACATAGCCTCACTTGGAAGAGGGGGCTTTTAGATGTAATTAAGGTAAGGATAGAGATATATTTGAACTGACTGGATTGGGTGGTCCCTGAATCCCACGAGAGCACTGTAAAAGAGCACACAGAGACACAAAGACGGCCATGTGAAGACAGAGACGAGATTTAAGCTGTGCAACCAGAGTCCAAGGAACACCAGGGAAACACTGGACCCTGGAAGAGGCAAGGAAGTGTTCTCATCTGGAGCCTTAAGAAGAAGCCTGACCCTGTTGTTGTCTTAACTTCAGACTTCTGACCTCCAGAACTGTGGGAGAAGGAATTTCTGATTTTACTTATTTATGTGTTTATTTATATTTGTTTGGCTTTTTTGTCAGAGTCTCACTCTGTCGCCCAGCCTGGAGTGCAGTGGCACGCTCACAGCCACGGCAGCCTTGACCTGCTAGGTTCAGGTGATCCCACCATCTCAGCTTTCCAAGTAGCTGGAACCACAGGCACATACCATGGCTCCTGGCTAATTTTTTGGTTTATTGTAGAGACAGGTCTCTTCTAATTGCTTAGCCCCTGGGCTCAGACAAACCTCGCTCCTCCACCTCCCAAAGTGCTGCAATTATAGGCATGAGCCACCTCAACAGGCCGAAACTCTATTATTCTAAGTCATCAAGTTTTTTTGGTAATTTATTGTAGCAGCCCTAGGAAATTAATACAATACCTGAGGGGCAAAGCAACTAACCCGAGATCTGTAGATAGTGCACCTAGTATACCAAACTGCTTCCTTCAGCTATAAAGAGCAGATGTTGACCGGGAGCCATGACTCATGCCTATAATCCCAGCACGTTGGGAGGTCAAGGCAGGAGGATCACTTACCCAGGAGTTCGAGACCAGCCTAGGCAACACAGTGAGACCTCGTCTCTACAAAAATTATTTTAAAATTAGCTGGGTCGTGGTGGCTCACGCCTGTAGTCCCAGCTCCTCAGGAGGCTGAGGTGGAAGGATCCCCTGAGTCTAAGAGATGGAGGCTGCAGTAAGCCATGATTGTGCTACTACACTCCATCCTTTGTTGACTCAAAAAAAAAAAAAAAGATGTCAACAGACCAACAACAGGAGATACACAGGTGGTAGTGCCCTGTGTTTTCAAAGCCGTTTCCAAAAGCCTTCCCAAGCCCTGTGAGGGAGCTGGTGGTGTTGTAAGCAGGGTCTAGACCAAACCTGGGAATTCTAACCCTGGGTCGAGAGCTCTTTCCTTTTCCAGGGGGTACTAAATCACCTAGATGCCTGGGATTTCCACATAATGTTATTCCATTAATCTTTGTAGCAGTAAGAAGCAAGCATAATTATCCTATCTTACAAATTGAAGTACAGAGTAGTAAAATCACTTGCCTGATGGCTCAGAGCCAAAAAATACAAGGGCTGGATCTCCGTGATCCAACTCCAGAGTCTGTGCTCTGTCCATTCACCATACCATTTTCATCATCCTGAGCGGGAAACTCAGCCAATGTTCAGGCTTGCATTGGCCAATGGCCCATGATCCCGGCACAGGCCACAGTGTGGGCGCAGGAGAGTCCTGGGTGAACACCATTTCCCGTTCCTAGCCCCACTGGCTGTGGCACAACACTGCTTCCTTCCCTTTGGCTATGCAGAGTCACACCCTGAAGTGCAGGGCACCGTATTTCTGTGGAAAGCAGGCTTCCCCAAACGACCTCGCATGGGCTCTGCAGTGAGGCCATCTCCTACTCTTGGACTCTTCCATGTCTCTCTATGTCTCGCTACTCTTTCTCCTGACACTTGATGGCTAGTGGTGGCAGTCATCTACCTGAGTGTGTGTCAGCTGGGACTGCTCCTGAGCATCTTGGCTTCCCAGTCAATGGCTTTCCTCACCACAGCCTCTGGCCAGAGGTCCCCTATAACAATGAGCCAGCCACACAGAGGAGGGTCACTGAGGCCAAATCACCTGGCCACATGGAGCTCGCGAGGAGCACATTTATCTGGGTAAGTAAAGAAGAAACCCCCACAAAACTAAAATGAAAATACAGAATTCCCCCAGACTCTGAAACCTCTCCTAGGAGATCTGATTGAAGAGTCTAAAACTGGCCTGGGGAAAGCACTGGGAAAACCACCCTGGGGTCTGCCCTGCTGGGTGAGATGAGGAAGCCCTGTGGGCAGATATCTGATATGGAGGCTGAGCAGACTAGTCGACCATATAGCCCTGTTGGGAGCTGAGACTATTGGGGCTGACAGGAGACATGGGAGAAACCTGGGTTTTGACGTGGTTTTAGCCCAGGCTTCACCCAGCTCCTTTACCCTGAGTGTTCATGCCTGCCATGCAATCTCCTAGACAGATGGATGTCCTGAGCAACCTGGGCCCAGGGAAGAGTGCTGGAAACATGGTCGAATATGGCCTGTAAGGATTTCCACTGGTGGTGCCTTCTGGCCCTCGGGGTGGCTCATGTGCTAAGATTGCCAAGTCCAAGGCCCTTCCCCAGGCTTTCCAGATAGGTGCAGCCTCCAGGATTCAGATCTGGTTCAGAGCACTGGAGTCTGGAAGCTGAGAGATATCTGTGGGCATCTGTCATCTGAGGATTTCTCCAAACTCCTGGCATGTCCACTGATGCTCTTTCATCCTTCCAGACCCCGGGGCCCTTCCTTGGACCTGCCCAGTTCTCATAAGGGGTGATCCAGCCGAGAGAGAGTCACTGCTGCAGGTATTCTCTCCACAGTATTTTGAGAAGCATTCTCGGTAGGACTGGGGTGCTTCCTAGAACCTCGCCAATGACTTCGTGAGGCCACCATGTAGTGTGTTAGGCTGCTTTTTACTGGCATAAGATGCTAGAGAGAGGGAAAAGCCCATGCCATTCTACTCCTTCTAGGAAGGAATAGAGTTCAGGAACCAGTGACAGTGACTGTTGAGTCACTAGCCTCAGATCGTTCTGTGCACCAAAAACTGTCTCCCATAGCCATGCTCTGCCTTCTTAGAGCAGTAGATATTAAGGTAATTTGAAAAGTACTCCAGAAACCCTGGATAACCACCATTAGTCTTGTTCTTCTTGCCATACAAAGCTCAAACCAAGGTCTCCTCTTTGACAGTTCTAGAAGGTTCTCTGGCACTTCCACTGGGCACTCTGCCTGCAAAGGCTGGTGAGAAGCAGGGTGCATTGCTTTCTCACTGAATGTTTTGGTCCTTAACCGACCAGTCACTTCCCTGAGAAACAGCTGTAGAAATGGGAGCTGCATGCTCCATGAGCTCATTCAGCAACCCTTAGTGTCTCAAACTTAGGGACCACTTGTGAGTCCAGAGCAGGGATTCCTGCTCACACCAGGGAGGTGGGCTGACCTAAGGTGAGTCCAAGGAAGAGGGGAGAGCTGGGACACTCAAGCAGCCTGAAAATCCAACTACAAGGAAGAAAGGGTAAAGAACTAGGACCCCTGGAGGAGAAACGAATTACGGGAAATGACTCCAGAGGAAGCATGACCGTGGAAACCCAAGGACTGCCTCTTTTCCATCCACTTGCCTGCCCCAGCACTAAACGTGAGAAAATCATTCCATTGGCTTAAAATATAATGACCTGCAATGCCCTTTAATGATAGAGTCCTACTTACAAGGGGTAGCACATATCTGATGATCAATCTTTATCAGATAACTAGTTAAGAGAAAACTATTTAAGAATTGGGCTTTTAAAAACAAAAAACAAAAACGCACACACACACATTAAGGTTCCATCCTATGATGGTTAATTTTACATTTCAAGTTGGTGGCACCATGGGGTGCCCAGATTAAATATTATTTCTGAATGTGACCATGAGGGTGTTCTGAATGAGATGGGTATTTGAACTCAGTAAGTGGTCTCAATAAGGCAGATTGTCCTCCCCAATGTGGTGGGTATTAACCAAACCATTGAAGGCCTGACTAGAACAAAAAGGCAGAAGAAGCAGGAATGTGTCCCTTTTGCTTCCTATCAGCTTGATCTGGGACACAGACGGGTCTTCTCCTGTCCTTGTACTGAGACAAGGCCTCTCCAGGCCTTCAAATAGGATTAGGTTACACCACTGGCTTTCCTGGGTCTCCAGCTTGCAAACAGCAGGTTGTAGGACTTCTCCATTTCCATAATCACATGAGCCAATCCCTCATAATACATCTCTTTCTATATATCTATCCTATTGATTATGTTTCTCTGGAGAACACTAACTAATACACATTCCCCTTTTAAAAATCACAGATGTAATATAGCACTGAAGAAAATTTTTTTCAAGAGAAAGAAAATAAAATCTGTGGTAGTTTTATAATTTTGCCACAGTTGCTTTCAAGTTTGCAAATCTCCTCCACATCTTTATCAGACAGCATAGTAGACCAGTTCAGAACTCTGGCTCCATGGTCAGATATACCTGGGTTCATGTCCCCAGTCCGTTATTTACAAATCATGTCACCTTGGGCAAGTTATTTAATCTCTCCAAGCTGTGCTCCTCTCATCAGTAACAGTTAAGATGAGAAGCCATCTCATAGGGCTTTTGGGAGAACTATATGACATTGATGCAGGTAAGGTGGTTCGTGCCATACCTGGCGGGTGGTAGCTGTTTTGCATTTGGTTTCTATCATTTTTATTGTTTCCTGAAGGTAGTCATGAGTGATTCAATAATGAACCCATGCAGCTGCAGCTGAAGGTGCACAGGAAGTACTACATGTAGTCAAGATCAAGAGCAATCGTTGGAGGCATTGAACAGAATGCCTCAGGCACCCTGCAAATGAATGTCACTCCTAGGCTTCCTTAGAAAAGGCAACAAAAACTTTGCAGCATAAATTAGAGACAAAAGGACGTCATGGGCCTTTAAGACCTTTTCACAGTTGAAGACAGACATGGATTTCATGCAATAAATGTTTTAAAACACTATTATAAAGGAATTGAAATTTCTCAGCATAGACTACCACAATTTGTAAAGGAAATAATAGTCTATAATATATAGTAGGAAGAGTAAAACCAACTCTGAACCAGAACAGAAAATGTGAAACAGAATGAAAATGTGAAAACCGAACCCGTAGCCATACAAAGTAGATTCACAAAATCCACGTGTGGAGGAACCTGAAGACAATACCCAAATTGCACAGTGCAATAACTGCAGCTATTGTTTATTTTTACTGAATGAAACACTCACTTGGTTCTCATTCTGTAGGGTGAGTTTGGTCACTTCAATTTATCCTTTTGCTCTATTATAAAATTTTGAGTAAAAAAATGCCCCCACGTATCATCATAAGTAAACATCTGGTAGTTAGGCTCATTCCAATCATTACAGTCAAGTGGCTGATGCCTGGGGCAGAGACAGGGGAGCTGTGCCCCTCTCTGAGTAGTGACTGAAGTGACGTTTATTCTGCTTCAGTGGGCTACTCATTCCAGAAGCACATTTGCAACTACAGCTACTGGTACACACACACCTGTGTGTGTTTTTGTTTTTTTTTATTTTATCAATATTTTTTATTATGGTTTTGTGGGGTACAGTTAAGGGTTAGGTGTACAATTACGTTTCATTCAGGCACCCTGTTGATAAGAGGTGTTTCCCCATCCCCAGACAGATATTTGCTACTGTTAATCCCATCTCCCTCTCCCCTCCATAGTTTCCAAGTACCGTCAGTCATTTTCTTATAGTATTACATTGGATGTTCAAGGTCCATTATATGAGTGAGAACATGTGATACTCGGATCTTTGTTTCTGTGAGAGGTCACTCAGTATTATAGACTCTAGTTCCATCCAGGTTGCTGCGAAATTCATGATTTTGTTCTTTTTTATGGCTGCATAGTATTCCATCGTGTATATGTACCACATTTTTTTTAATCCAGTCCTTTTTTGATGGGCAGCATGGTTGCTTCCAAGTTCTTGCTATTGTGAAAAATGCTGCAATAAACACACGTGTGCAGGTATCTTTTTTATAGAGTGATTTGAGTTCTTCATGATATATTCCCAGTAGGGGGACTGTGGGGTCATACAGGAGGTTGATATTTAGAGCTTTTAGGAATTACCACACTGCTTTTCACAGCGGTTGCACTAGTTTACACTCCCACCAACAGTGTAGAAGTGTTCCCTTTTCGCCACACCCTCTCCAGCAGCTGTTATTTTTTGAGTTGTTGATAATTGCCATTCTGACTGGAGTTAGGTGGTATCTCAGTGTGCTTTGATTTGCATCTCCCTGATGATTAGTGAGGTTGAACATTTCTTCATGTGTCTATTGGCTGCTCGGATGTCTTCCTTTGTGAAGTGTCTGTTCATATCTTTGCCCATTTTGTAATGGGGTTGTTTGTTTGTTTTTTTTTTTT